CCTCTTGAGGGAAAGAAGTCTGTCAAGGGAAGAGGGCACCCCGCAGACATTCCAAAAAATCAGCTGCATTTGGGAAACAGTGAGGGTACTTTATTAGAACTCTTACTCCTAGTCTCCATAGCATGAGGAGTAAAATCTTTGGAGTGTTTGAGGTACTTTTTGAAAGGCATGGGGGTGGAGTTGGAAGAGGGAATGTCCAGCTGGAGGGGACGAAGCTCAGAGCTGTCAAAAGGTATATCCCCTTCATTGCCTTCGGAGTGGCAGTATGAAGTGGAGATTTCTACTTCTTTGTCAAGGTTTCCAAAATTTACACACACTGAGGAGGCTAGGGAAGGTTTGCTAACCCAGTAGTCATCTTTACTGGCAAGGTTTGAGGCAAAGGAAGGAATACCTGGACCAGACGAGAAGGGGACCAAAGCTAATCTGTCATCAGTGGGATGATGGGGCAGTGGGACAGTAAGGTGTTTATGTGAAGGAGATGGTGTGGAAATGGCTTCATCTTCATTTACATCTTCAATTATGGGCATGAGGAGAGACCAGTGTGACTTGATTTGTTTAGACGTGGTTGGTTGATCCAAAGAGCTGTGAATAACAGGGGGGACATAGGGAAGAGGGCTGCCAGTCCTAGAATTGTCCATATGCTGTTGGACAAGGTTTTTGGAAGAGGAATGGTTAGGCCCACAAGTACATCCATTCCTGCCCAAATTGGAGACTTGCCCGCCTCGCCGTTTAGCTTTTACCCATGTCCAACCTGCAGAATCCTCCTTATTACCCGCTCCCATGTGGCCCACCTCACCGGCCGGAGCTTTCCCGGAGAGGCTCAAGAGTTTATGCTTCCGGCAGTGGTTGAGGGTATGCCCGAAAGTGTAACAACTTGAGCAGAATTGTGGTGGGTTTTCAAACTTACAGGGGATCCAGAGATCCCTGCAACCCAATCGAATGTGAACACGGGAGGGTAATGGCAAGGAGGTGTCCCTTTCAACACAGAACCTAGGTTGTTCAGGGAAGACACCAATCACCGTGTTGGAATCGAGTTTAATGGGCTTGCCAAAGAGGGAGGCTATTTTAAAAAGAGCGCCATGGTCGTTGAGATGAACTGGGAAGTGCTCTAGCTTGATCCAAACC